GTTGCTCTGTGGAGGTTAGCTACTGGAAATTTGTATAGAACCGTGGGATTAACGTTTGGAATCGGCCGATGTACTGCCATGAATGTCAAGGACGAATTCTGCTCTACCTTGATGAGAAGAGCTAATGATTTCATCAAATTTAGGTAGTATTACGAGTGAATTCGTCCGCCATTTCAAAACCAAAGTGAACCACGAGGTGAGCACGAGCGACTGGAAAATATTTGGCAGGTCACGATTTGGCAGGCATCTGTCACTACCGGCAGTGTGATTGGCTGCGGCATTTACCAGGACAAGTTATACCATCTGGCGAGGTAGTAATTTCCGGTCATAAGGGCGAGATAGTATCTAGTTTTTTCATGTGAAAACAGCTTGCATTTTTAACTCGCTTAACTTAGGACAAGCTGTTTTCACTGAACTTCCGGACTTTTCCGACTTTAACTAGTCAAACTTGTCCTAGTGAAAACACAGCCTGTATGTATGTATGTAAAAAGATCTTTCATCTTGTGACTCAATTGCAAATCAGCATTTACATGTTACAACTGTTACGTTTTTGAAATGCGCCCTCGCCTTCCTCGTCTCTTCTATCCGCGTGGTTACCTCGAGCGTTGCGTCCTGTGACCTCAGGCTGGAGAACTTGATGTTGGATAGATGACGCTTACAACACCAGGATTAATTTAAGAATAAAAGATGACAGAGGAGGCTGACACACCGCTTCTGCCTGAAAAACAAAAGCTAAGTTTTCCTTCAGTGACCACTCAAAAAGGAACCTCGCTACTCGAGAGGGTTAGAACAACTATATTCAAGAATCTTTTGCCAATTAGCCTGATTTTCTTCGTAATACTAGGTATTTTGGTTCCACAACCTGGCGTTTACTTCAGCAAACTGCCGGCCAACTATGTTTGTGTCATTGGTATATTCCTTCATAGTGGACTCAAACTTAAAACAGAAGAAGTACAAGACGCTTTGAAATCTTTCAAGGCAATGATCTGGGGAGTTGTTTGTATCTTGTTTATTACACCAGTGATTGGCGGCCAACTCACTGGTCTTCTCCCTTACACTGAGGCAAGGGATCAGAGCGCAAAAAACTCTACAAATGGTTCTTTGTCTATTGAGGAACACGCAAATGGTAGTTCCATACTCGGTCCAGCTTTATTTCAGGTTGGAATGCAGGTTTACTTCATTGTTCCTTGTACGATTTCGTCTGGGATTATATTGGTAAGTCATTTACTAAATTAAAGGAGGTTGAATTAATTTAAGGTCGGAGGGGAATTATTTTCTCACAAGATTGGCTAGATCTCTGCTCAAATTAAGTGAACAGAGATCCTGCCACATAAAACTGTAAAATTGACAAAGGGAAAAAATAAAACAGGATAGGTAATTTTAGAGGAAAAAAATATTATAATTTCTAAAATACGTGACGAGCGCGTGATTTGTCAACTGTTCTGTCTCTTGACCGTCCAAGAGAGAGTTATCACACGATCGATTGGTTAGCGTTTTCAGAGACAGCAATTCGCAGCGCTTCAAAACCTGAGTGGAATATGCCATTAGAGTAAATTTGTCTTCTCTGTTCTGTTTTGTTTTCGCTATCGTTATGGGTAAGCCGTCAGCCGATCAGTTTTCCCGCCAAGAATCCGCTGGCGTGACTGTCACTCGAGCCTAGTCTGTTTACATCGGCAATTCCTTCCACTGTCCTCGAAATCAGTGAGGAATCTCGCATCTCCAAATTAAAAACGATGAGTACTTTCGCTCTAAAACACTCGTTAGTTCCGAATTGAAATCAGAGAAAGGAATACAGGTGAGATGATAAGTAGCTTCGATTTAAAACAAAAAACAAAACAGAAAAACAATTGATAAATTATAGCAACACGTGTGAAAATACTAGTATATAACCTTTTTAGATCAGGGCCCACTTGTTCAAAGGCCGATTAGCTCTAACCCAGGGTTACATTTTAATCCAGGTTTCTAAATTTCTCTAATCAAAAGCCATTTTGGGATAATTTTCCTAGTTCTTTTTAGGACATTCAATCATCAAATTGTAGACAAATGGAATTAAGCTGAATTTTCTTCCAGACCTTTCAGATCTGAAATCAAATTTCACACTAAGGGCCTGATTACATGAGCCGGGCTGGCTCGATTAGCCGGGCTGCTTTGGTGTGCCGAGATGACATTCAGCCCGATATTACATGAGGCGAGCCAGCCCGGTTGATGACTGGGGTGATGAACCGCGGGAGACCGGAGCGATCTTTGATTTTTTGATCCTCCCCAGTATCTTTACCATTACCTCAGAACTCCATTACCAACTTTCCAGAACCTAGATCCCATTGTCACAGCATTACTAAANAACTCTTGCTGGCTTAATGAGCCGGGCTGACCCGCCTAAACGCGATTATATGGGAAAATTTCGGCCCGGTTAGCAGGGATCCCGGCACCGCGATACCGGGATCTCGGCTTACCGGGCCGGCCCGGTTGTCATGTAATTGCGAGGTTGATTTTTGTTGCGTTTGACAAACGTGCCGAGATCCCGGCAAACTTACGCCAGCCCGGCTAACGGAGCCAGCCCGGCTCATGTAATCAGGCCCTAACCCTGGGTTATCTTAACACAGCTTTGAACAACCCGGCCCAGGACTCTTAAAGTAACGACCCGATTGCGCTCTACGTGCTCGTACCATTATTAGAGAGAGTAGCCCTATTTTTCCCATTTCTTTTTTCTAAATGGAGGTATCCACTAGGGGCAGAAAACAACAGAGAGTATTAAGAAAAATCATCCCCCTCAGGCGAGATACAAATTCATTAACCCTTTAACTCCCACGATCAGATTGTTAATTCTCCTCTCTGGCCGCTATACATCTCATCGTGAACTAATCATGAGAATTTGGTGTTCGATCAAGACAACAGCTTCTGCCTTACAAGTTTGATCATATTTCTACCTGTTTGCAGGATAATGTGCAGACATTGAAGGCAGAAGTTACAGGTTAATCATCTCTGGGAGTCAAAGAGTTAATCAAGGGTTACCTTGAGTCTCTCATCACCTTTCCCTGACAGTTAAGTGAAGGCTCTTTGGTGGAAAGAGGCACTGTGAGTTAGAGTGAAGGGGCTTCAATAAAAACACCTACAGCATGATAATCAAAGCCAGAACTCAAATCCAGACCAGTCAGTTATCCGGATTCTGTTTCACTGTATCTTCCAACTTTTGGATACTTATCATTTCTTTATCTTTTTCTTTGAAACAACAGACAGCTCAAGCTGGGGGTGCTGTCGCATTATCTGTACTGCTCACAGTGTTTTGTAACTTGGCGGCTGTATTCACTGTTCCGCCTCTTGTGGCCTGGATAATAAATTTTGAGGATGTCAGACTGGATCCTGTTAAACTTTTGATTAAGTTGGTGCTGACTGTGCTTCTTCCATTACTGGTATGTGCGGTCAGATTAATTGTAGTTTAGTGTGAGGAGAAAAAGTATCAAGATGAAATATATATTGTTTTGGCTCAGTCAAGATCTGTATTTAATTTAGTAATTAGTTTTATTACGTGACTCGGGCAGTCAGAGGGCCAATAACTAAAATCAACCAATCAAAATGCTCTATTGCCGGTCAATATTCTCCCAGTACGGCCCTCGCACTTGGTTAATAAGATATATGTATGCATTGGATGTTAAAAACCTTAGGCACTGCACCTAATATCATACTTCTTGGTGATTAAATCAAACATTTCACCGAGTTGTTTCATCATATTTTCGCAATTCTAAGAGAATTTGACAAAGCATTGTCAAGAGTGTTCAAACTCCAGATTGGGGGAGATGCATGTGTCAGCAGATATGATAGCCACAAAGTTTTGCAGAGTAACTGTTTCTATGATTAATTATTTAAGATATACTTAGTCCAGTATTTACAAGTTTTATCACTAGGGAATGTACTTAAATCACAGCTTAAGTAAAATCAATCTTCAGTTGACAACATGAATTTCATAGGTTGGTAAAGGACTAAGCTACATGCCACATGTGAAGACATTTGTCACAAAATACTCCAAAATTCTGAAAGCTACCAGCATCATACTGTTGGCGATGATTCCCTGGTTGAAAGTCAGCCGAGCAAGTGCACAAAAAGCCTTCAGTGGGATCTCTGTTTGGAGTATTTTTGCAGTTCTTGGATGGGGCTTAGCAATGCACTTGCTATTCATTATTGTTATTCTTCTTCCATGTTTTGCCTTGAAACTGGGAAAACCTGCTCTGAAGTCAGTTGTTATCTTGGCTAGTCAAAAAACTCTGGCCATTGCAGTAACAATATGTGGTTATCTTCCATTTACACAAGCTGAGCAAGGTCTAATAAGCCTTCCTCAAATTATTATTCATATTGGAATTCTAGTTTCTGATTCAGTTTGGGTATCCTGTTGGTTTTCATGGGATGCCAAGAGAGAAAAAGAGGAAATTGAGAAAGCTGAAAAAATTTTACAAAATAAAATTGAAAATTCGTTTAAAACATCATTAGATCTTACATGAAGAAATTATGCTTAACATGCCATATGCATGATTCCAGGAATTAGCTTACATCAACAGGCCTCTCTGTAAGTATACATATTTATTCTTGGGTTTCAGGTGACGTCACAAGCTTTGCTGAAGTTAGTGTCCGCCATGTTGGTGTCCCTCGGGTGTCAAATTTATGAATAATTAGTCGATTTCTATAGTGAAGCCTTAGCTCTCTTATCGCCGTATTATTTCCCCAAGTACATGAATATCCAGAAAGAAAAAAGCGATAAAAGTATCTGGCATTCATCTTAAGGTATCCCAGTGCTCTCTGAGTATGCCGAAAGCTTAGAGA